GTGTTGCATAATTGTAGTCTCTGCTACTTGGGAGGTTGAGGTGGGCAGATTGCTTGAGCCCAGGAGGTCAAGGCTGCAGTGAGCCATGAGTGTGCCACTGCACTCCAGCCCGGACAACAGTGAGACCCTGACTCAAAAAAAAATTCTTATTATCATATTAAACATATAGTTCAAGGCAAACTATAATGAAGAGTTGTGATGATCAATTCCTGCTCATCATAGAATCAACCATGGATATTTGATTGAGGCTAAGTGTCACTGCCTCTACCTCACCATTTTTTTTTAACAGTTTTAATTTATTTGACCTTGAGAGAGTTAACTGGGAAGAGCTGAAAAGGAAACCAAGCAGAGTGAGGTCTCAGCTTTCAGGAAAGGTAGGTAGTCATGTGCACACAGCAGGCCATTGCTGCATGCAGAAACTGGGGTCTCCTGCTAACTATAGAGTTTGCTTAAGCAATTATGGAGGCTGAGAAGTTTCATGATCTACTGCCTACATGCTGGAGACCCAGGAGAGCTGATGGTGTAGTTCCAGTTTGAGATGGAAGGCCTGAGAATCAGGAGAACTGATGGTGTAAATTCCAGTCCCAGTGCAGGAGAATACCAATATCTCAGCTTGAAAACAGGCAGAGAGAGTAAATTCTCCTTACTCAGCTTTTTGTTCTATGTAGGCCTCCAATGGATTGGATGAGGCCTACCCACACTGGGGAGAGAAATCTGCTTTACTCAGTCTGCCAACTCAAATGTTAATGTCATCCAGAAACACCCTCATGGACACACCCAGAATCATGTTTATCTGGGCATCCCATGGCCAAGTCAAGTTGACATAAAAATTAAACATTAACAATGAGCAAGGAGCCTAGTGGCTAAAAAATGCAGCTTCAAATTCAATGTGCCCTACTTACTGTGACCTTAGGTAAGTTACTTAACCATTCTAGGCCTCCCTTACCCCCAAGTAAAATGGAAATAATGACAGCTCCTTCCTGAACTTGTTTTTAGAAGCACGTGAGAGAGGGTCAGGTCCAGTGGCTCATGCCTGTAATCCCAGAACTTTGGGATGCCAAGATGGGAGGATCGTTTGATGCTAGGAGTTTGAGACCAGACTGGGCAACATAGTGAGATCCCATCTCTAAAAAAAATAAAAAATAAAAAAAATTAGAATCATATGAGATAATGTCTGTAAAGTGCTTAGCGGAGTGCATGGCCCTAGAACTCACCATTTCCGTCTATCTAGGCATGACGAAAGGAAATTCTCAACCAGGGAGGTTGGCAGTAAGTTTGAAAAATTCTAAGAAATTTCAGAAGATTCTATATGACCTTGATTACTAAAATAATATTTGTTATGGGGAGGGAAAAGCAGCAAAGGAGTGGGGAGAGCAACTGAAAGCCTCTTATCTTCCAGCAGACCAGAATAACAGGGAACACTATGTCTGCTTTGAGGCTCCCTGCTGTCAAGGATGCCTGCTTCTGGGATCTGCATAGAAACCTCTTAAAATCTGCTCACAGGCTTCTTAAGTTCCTGCCTCTTGAGCACCTCACATGTCATGCTTCCTGTAGAAATCTCCATTGCACGTGGCTGCTGTGGGAAAAAGAGTAGGGTGGGGAGATGAAGGTAATACTAGAGAGAGAGATGAAGCATTGGAAGCTGAGAGACATTCTCACATTCAGAGAGTCATAGAGTTTGAAGCCAGGGCTTTGATGGCAACCAAAATATACTGCTTTCCAGTTGCAATGGAAAAAGGTGACCAGGACGTTATGATGGAGGGCAAGGAGGGTGGGTGAGAAGGTTTAGAAAAATGCCTTCCTGGGCAAACTATCTAGTTGGTTGGATATTTTAAATAGTCAAAATGATTTACTTTTATTAATGCAAAGACAAAACTGAATTATCAACTGAGGGATTTATTTTCATTTGCAGATGTGAATTGGACACAGTATCATGCTACTCGTTGAATTCTGATTTGGAGCATCTACCCAAATCAAATTTGGACCTCATTTGGGTAGATGCCCAAATTAGAATTTAACGGGTGGCATGATACTGGGAGGCAGGAAGTCTCCACATTTAATGCTGAGGAGAGAAAGAAATTTCAGGGTAGGGTAGTATGTCTGGGTTAGACATACTTCTTTTCTCCAGCTCTTTGTTTGAAGTCAATACACATTCTGATTGAGGGCAAAGAGTTTTTCCTCTGAATAAACCATTTTCCCTGAAGAAATTGGCTGAATGGTATAGTACTGGTTGATGAACCAGAAAACCTAGCCTCTGTTCCCTCCAACACCATTTCCCAACTACGTCACCTTGGGCAAGCCACTTAACCTTTCTGAGGATCAACTTCCTAAAGTCAAATGGGATAATAATCCCTCGTCGGTATCCTACAGTTGGCTATTTTAAAGAAGTGAGACAATAAATGTGAATTGACCTTGAGATCTGTAAAATGTACACAGTATTATTCCTGAACCATGACTGCTTCCCTTGCCGGGTCTAGTGATTTTAAACACATAGTACAAGATCTTCCCATATTGTTGCAATATGGAAGGAAACAGCTGCTAGTCAAAGCCAATTTTAGAAACCTGCATTTTTGCAAAAGGAAGAGTCAACTTTCATCATAATGTTGCTGGCACAGGATGGTTACTGCCAGAAAACAATGTAGAGATGGTCCAGCAGGTGTCAGCAGAGAACCAACTTTCAGTACTAGGTGGGCTTCTCCAGGGAGGGAGATGCCTGGGTGTAGTGGGCTGGGACAGGGCTAGGGGGAGTCCGTCATTAAATCCAGGGCTGTCCCAGTTATGGTGGGTGCTGGTGGGCAGATTAGGACCACTGAGATGGGGACAACAACCATTTGGCTTTATCTGCAAAATCCCTCTCATTGACTCCAGGATTCTTTCCCTTCGGAAGATCCCTTCCCATGACTGCTTTTTAGTCTGGGCCTGAGTCCCTCTTCTGGCCTTAGAACCTGTGCTCTAACTTGAAAACCTGTCTCAAAGGGAAGAAGGTTTATTTGTTTGTTTAGAGAAATACTGCTTTGGGAATGCCTTTCATCCCTCCCTGTTTTGGATATATGATTTTCACCTACTCTTCCTTCTCCTACCTTAACAACCAGCCATTCAGATTCAATAATTCAGGCAACAAATCCAAGATGAGTGGCTAATGTGTTGGGAGTGGGAGAACACCATTTACAGCTACTAAACAGAAGCCTGTGCAAAGAAGTATGTAAGCTCATATATGCTACAGATAGGCTCTCATATTTTACTCTTATGATTTCATTGCAAACGTATATGAGTCTGTTATAATGTGCCATGCTGAAATGGGTTCTGCCGTAGGTTTTTATGAGATTCGGGGTCTTTCTTGGCTGGATGTAGAGAGGATGACTTGGAGAGGCAGAGAAGCGCTCTTTGAAACAGGAACAAATCCCAAACTGCCTGCCTTCCCTTCCCCACCCCCCACCGTTTCTAAGATTCCCAGAGAATATGTGTGTGTGTGTGTGTGTGTGTGTGTGAGAGAGAGAGAGAGAGAGAGAGAGGTACATATATGTAAAGTGGTATATCTTAGTAGTGAGGGAAGGGAAATATCTCACATATTTCCTATGTGAGATATTGCCCTATGAGGGGAAAGGGCAAATGGAATCAGAGCCAAAAGGCTGTCTGAAACTTTAGAGCAAGACCTATGGCTAAAGTTCAAGGGCAGGGCCACAGCCAAATAGAGAGCTGGCCACCTGCAAATCTGCCACATCTGGGAAATGGAGAAAAGGAAAAAGGATAAATCAAATAGCTATGGATGCTTGTAGCTCTATTGCATTATTTGCTTTTCCCACCCCATAGAAAAGTCCAACTTTTCTCAAAACTCAGAAATTCTGGAATAACTCTAAGATCTCCAAGAAAAGAGAGTTGTGTCCCACTTAGAAAAGGCCAAAGTATGTGTGTGTGGGTAGGGGATATGTCTGTGGGGGGTCATTAGGGTCCTAATCTCTAGTGTCTGACACCCACAAAGAACAGAACTCCCATATCCACCACTAAGTATGACTGCTGGGCCCAGTGATCCATAAATCTCCAGCTGGCAAGAAGACAGGCACAGTATACACAGATTCCTACATTGCTGTAAATTTCTTGAATTCTCAAGTAGCTGGATAAGCTGTGTTTCTTTTTCTTTCTGATTGTAAATATTTAATTATTTCCATCTCTTTTCTTGAAGCCAGTAGGTACCATGTTTGCAAGAATATTTGAAATTCAGAGGAGAGGGGTTCCCAAGTCCACAGAGCATCTGCCTTGCACATTATTTTGCTCAGAATGTACAAGAAAAGCAAAATAGATAGCATATATAGCCAGTTCAAGCCCTTGCAGAGTTATGGTCCTGTAATATACAAGGCCCAGCATTCATTATAATTGACCTATGCTCAGTGTGGATCTGTGACTCTGGTTTTGGGACAAAAATCTGCACTGATAATTTAAATATGGAAGCTCCAAAGACAGGGAGAACCAAAGGATGGTGAAACACATCTCTTGCCTCAGTCATTGCATAAACCCCTGATTCAGGTCCCTTTTAAACCCTAAATACCCATAAGCTATATTGTTAAATTATAAAAAGAACCTTCTCTGATCTTATCCATTCCCAGTATGGTGAAATCGTCTTTGGCTATGTCTAACTAGGAAAAGTGAAGTGATGAGTTGAAAGCATTAAAGACAGCAGTCAGAATGATCAGAAACCCCAGCCAATGCGACATTTTCCCAAAAAATGAAGCCACAGTTAGGGTCTCCGCTGCGTAGACCAAGCTCAAGTTAATTCGGTTTAGCCAGGCGCTTTTCTTTTCTTTCTTTTTTTTTTTTTTTTTTTGAGACGGAGTCTCGCTCTGTCGCCCAGGCTGGAGTGCAGTGGCGCGATCTCGGCTCACTGCAAGCTCCGCCTCCTGGGTTTACGCCATTCTCCTGCCTCAGCCTCCTGAGTAGCTGGGACTACAGGCGCCCGCCACCGCGCCTGGCTAATTTTTTGTATTTTTAGTAGAGACGGGGGTGTAGCCAGGCGCTTTTCTTTCCTGTTAGATCCTCAACCCCCATGGCTACCAGGCCCTGGGGAGCCCTCGCCTCTGCCCTCAGGACCTCCCTGCCCGGCTCAATAGCTCTGGGCCAGTTCATTTCGCCACAGCCCAGAGCCGCTCGGAAAGCAAAGATTAAAGGGGAAAGTCGCAGCTGTATATTTATATTTTCATTGCTAGAAGGGAATTGATTTCCGTGCATTTATTTTGGTAGTTGTAATACACAAGGGCGGATTTGCGTCACCCGAGCAACTTGCCGGTGGAGATAAAGTTGCACAAATATTGAAAGGGGAAGTGCTAGGAGTCATTATAGAGTTTTTCTCCGGAAGAAATAAGGATTTCTGCAGTATCCTAAAATACTAAGGCCGCTTCTATTTTGAGACCAATCTCGCAGGCACATCCGCTCATTTAGTCCGAGTTTGAGCCCATCAAAAAACAGGAGATGACCTGAACTCCGGCGAGCCCAGGGTTTCCTGCTGCTTTCTTGGTTCTGAAGAGTGGGGAGTAAGGAGGGCGGGAGTCTGCGGGCTCAGAACTCGGCGAGGGGCCTGCAGGGGCCAGGCTTGGGCCTGGGGAAGCGGTAGAGGGGGCGGCGGGGGTCGCTCCAAAGACTTGCTTTTCGCGTTTGCCTCCGGGAGCTGGGAGTAAGGCCTTGGATGGCGCCGATGCGATTGCAAGGAAGCCGAGGCCTGGGAGAGCAAGGGGCGCGCGGGCGAAGTTGCAACTTGCAATCCAGCCACTGGCCTGGCGGAGAAAGGGAGGCTCGCGGCGCAGCAAGGAGTCGGCGGGCCTCGGGGCCTCGCTTTTGCCACATCTGCCCGGCGCTCCGGGCCTTGAATCTCGGCAGATGCGAGTTGTGGGCACCTCAGGGAACCCGCGAGGGCCCGCATTCCCCCGGGTCTTCATCCCGTACCCAACCCGGAGCGTCGCAAACCTTGGAAAGGATGAATGCGGATAGGGGAGTCTTATTTCTTAAGAGAGAGGGTGAGGGCGCGCGGCGCTGCCTCGGTAAGGAGTAAATGCACCTCTTTCACAACCGTGAGTTTGGGCTTAGGCCGAGGTCTAAATGTTTGCAGTCAAATTAGAATCACAATCAAACTGGAAGTGGCACTAGAAAGGAGAGGGCTCACGGCCTCCGCTACGCACACTCACACCGAAGGCTCACCAGAACCCTCAGCCAGCGCCTCAATTGCCCATGTTGTACTTGTCGCTCCTTTGCCTTCAGCTTGACACCGAAAGACTGGTCTTATTACGTCTGTCGCCCCAGGTATCCTTACCCTCAGCCAAACACACCCATCTGTCTCTGGAAATAGCACCTCTCTCCTGGCTGCGTGGAGCAGGGGAAGAAAACCTTGCAATAAAAGAGAGACGGAGAGCGGGAGAGCTGGAGGGCGGGAGGAGGGGGAGAGAGGGAGAGGGAGAGATCTTAGTGCTGGCTGATCGGAAGTGATTGAAATTTTCCAGGAGAAAGTCAAAAGCTTAAAAGGATAGCATCTGCATCAAGGGGCTAGAGAAGCCACCAGAAATTAATTTTGTAAGTCCAAACCCTGAACTTGAGATAGGCATGGCAAGTTCACTTGCCTTTCTGAGTTTATTTGGTGAGGAGCCTTCGTGCTGAAGGGAAATAAAAATGCCACAGAATCTCTGTTAGGAGATGCTTATTAGGGCAATCGAAAACAAAAGATTTCGTGGTTTCATTATTCGTATTATTTTATTTTCTTCCTGAAAATGTGCAAAAACAGCTTATCTGGGTGGCCTGTGGTTTGTTTGGGAGAGGGGTGGGGAAATCCATTCTGACTATAATTTAAAAGAGAACAAATTCTTAAAATAGAGATGTTGATGTTGCACAAAATCCCCACTACCACCACCCTGCGTTCTAAAGACCGAAGGCACGAATGGAAGACGTTGACCACCACTGCAGCTCCTCCTGCGACCAGGCCCAAGGGGTTCCTGGGGAAGCTGTCACAGAATTGAAAGCAATATTGAACCCCACGGAAATCTGCTCTTGTGGGCACTTGCAAAACAACGAACCCCACGTGATCCGGAGATGTGGTGGAGGAGGGAGGCTGACATTTCCTACAACCTCCTGCAAAGGAGGGACGCGCGTGCCGCTCCCGGGTTTCTGGAGGCAGCCTGTTTTGTAGCCTCTGAGGCTCCGGGAAAAGGTTTGGCTGCGTCTAAGGGAGACGTTTGGAGCCATCCGTCTTATTTTGTTTGAAAAGTCACTCGTTCAAGTTGTCACTGTGTGACAGCTCAGAATAAAACTAATTTGCGGTCACCCCTCCTTCTCGCTTCCCCGAGGATCTCCAGGGAGGCACAGGGCGGACGTGGTGCTGAGTTGGGCTGGGACTCAGGGTGGCAACATTTGGGCAAGGGTCCAAGAAAGATGAGGGGCTTTGCCGAGGACACGGACTCCTGGAATAAAAGCAGAATGAGGTCAAGAGAAGGGAAGCAAAGGGTCCAAACCGCTCTCTGCTCTCCACCGGGAGGCGGGCTTTGCATAGCCCTAAAGAGTGAGATAACCGTCCCTTCCCCACTCCCCCAACTCGCCCCGGGTGACAAGCGCTTCAGGAAAGCTCCTGTGACCAATCCTCCTTGCCCCGTGGCAGTTCGGAGCTGCAGAAGTTAGAAGAGAGTTAGAGCCCTCCGGAGCGGCTGCCTGGCCCCTACGCAGAGTAGCAAGACTCACTGCGATGTGCGTTACTAAGCCCACGCGGCCGCAGCAAACACTTTGGCGTGGCCGGGGCGGGGCTCGGGCCCGGCCACGCCCCTCATTCCTAATTCCCCTCCACTCCCCGCTCCCATTGGTCATGAGGATGACCAATGAGCGCTCAGATCGAGGTCCTACCCCGGGCCTGACTCGAAAGCTCCTGCCAAAACTTTGGGAGTTTTTAGAGACGAGTTTTTTTTTTTTTCCTATTACTTTTTTTTCCCCCTAACTAACGGATTATTATTGTTGTTGTTTTAAATTTAGCTCTTAGGGCTTAGCTGTTTGGGTTTTCTTGCGTTGTCCGGCTCCCGTCTCCCTGGCTCCCCTGCCCGCCCCGCGGCCCCAGCGCCCCTCATTCGCCTGCAGCCCGCGAGGAGTGCGGGCGCCGCGCCGCCTTTAAAGCGAGGCCAGGGAGCGAGGCGGTGACCGGCGGAGATCCGGCCCTCGCCTCCTCCCTCGGTGGCGCTAGGGCTCCCGGCCTCTCTTCTTCAGTGCGGGCGGAGAAGCGAAAGCGGATCGTCCTCGGCTGCGGCCGCCCTCTCCGGGACTCGCGTGCCGCTCCCCGCGCGTCCACCCACCCGGTCCGGTTGGACTGCGGCAGCCGCGCGGCTCACCCCGGCAGGATGTTCGCAGCCGGGCTGGCTCCCTTCTACGCCTCCAACTTCAGCCTCTGGTCGGCCGCTTACTGCTCCTCGACCGGCCCAGGCGGCTGCTCCTTCCCCTTGGACCCCGCCGCCGTCAAGAAGCCCTCCTTCTGCATCGCAGACATTCTGCATGCCGGCGTGGGGGACCTGGGGGCGGCCCCGGAGGGCCTGGCAGGGGCCTCGGCCGCCGCCCTCACCGCGCACTTGGGCTCGGTTCACCCGCACGCCTCTTTCCAAGCGGCGGCCAGATCCCCGCTTCGACCCACCCCAGTGGTGGCGCCCTCCGAAGTCCCGGCTGGCTTCCCGCAGCGGCTGTCTCCTCTCTCAGCCGCCTACCACCACCATCACCCGCAGCAACAACAACATCAACAGCAACAGCCGCAGCAGCAACAGCAGCCGCAGCAACAGCCTCCGCCTCCGCCTCGGGCTGGCGCCCTGCAGCCCCCGGCCTCTGGGACGCGAGTGGTCCCAAACCCCCACCACAGTGGCTCGGCCCCGGCCCCCTCCAGCAAAGACCTCAAATTTGGAATTGACCGCATTTTATCTGCAGAATTTGACCCAAAAGTCAAAGAAGGCAACACGCTGAGAGGTAGGTCTTGGACTGGAGGCTGCAGGCCTCTGACCACTGACCCACTCCCGGGACCCCGGGCTGGCTTGGGGTGCCTTTGAGTGTTTTTACAATTAAGGACAACTCGGTAAAATGGGAGAGAAGAAAACGAATTGTAAGAAAACTACAAAACATTAGGTATAAAACTCACCTGTTCTATGTAAAACAAACAAAAAAATTATTCCAGGGATTCTTTAAAAACACGTCTTAGAAACAATATTTATAAAAATGGTTGGTGTAATTATCTGCTAAAATGACTTTGATCTCTTTAATAACGTATCTAGAGACAGAATTATATTTTCTGACAACTAAAGCATTTTTGGGAAACACTTTCGCATTTATCTGATTTCTGGTAAAAAATTCACCCAGGAAATGTAAATAATAAACAAAACCGCCTAGATGAGCGGGCAGAATGGGGCCTCCTTGGGGCGGAGGTTTTGGGTTTGTGGGATTCTTGGAAGGCACGTGAAAGTAAGGCCGTAAGCCTATTTATGTAAAGCCTTTACTTACTATATGCGTGCATGTGGACGTGAGGGACACACAGGAACTTTTCGTGCGTCGCTCCTTGGCAAGTGTTGGGAGAGAGAGGTTTCAGCGCCGAGACGAGTTCTCTCGTGACTTCGCTCAATAAAAGTGAATCCAGGGCAAGGGGAAGGGGAGGAACAAATCAGCGGAGAGTGTGAGTGTGCCCGAGATGTAACCTGCTATCCTTTTCCCTTGTCCCCAGATCTCACGTCCCTGCTAACCGGTGGGCGGCCCGCGGGGGTGCACCTCTCAGGCCTACAGCCCTCCGCCGGCCAGTTCTTCGCATCTCTAGATCCCATTAACGAGGCTTCTGCCATCCTGAGTCCCTTAAGCTCAAACCCAAGAAATTCAGTTCAGCATCAGTTTCAAGACACGTTTCCAGGTACCGAAAAACTCCAGAGTACTGCCTAACCAGCAAGCCGACTGACAGTCAGAAATCTCAGGACTGACGCCTCCAGGGCGGCTGCGGTGTCGCAATCTCACAGTTGGGGCCGGAGGCTACGGAGTCAGGAGAGAGAAACCGAAAGATTTATCAGCGAGCTAGCGCTCTCTTTGGAAGGTTCCCCTTGAAAAGGGGTAGGGGCGCCTGGAGAGCCCAGAAAGTGTGCGCGTGGACGGTGGGGTGGGGGGCTTTCTCAAAGTCTTTCGCCCTAGAGGCTTGAAAAATGCAGCATCGATGTTACTTATTAACATACACACATTTTGGGATGACCTCAAACACTTGTGCTTGGCGAGCTTACGTCTGGGTGCCTGGGCACATGCGGGAATAACACACACACACACACACACACACACACACACACACACACACACAAACAAGATGATTCGGGGCTGTCATTACTCAGGCCCGAGGGACATTTTTGTCTACTCTTCGTAGGCCTGATGGCCACGCATGAGGTTTATGTTTTTCCCTTGGAATTAAAGGTCAAGCCTCCAGGCTTCTCTACTCCACGCTAGCTTTAGGTCTTCTGACTGTCATATAAAATTCTTCCTTAGAGGGGCCATTCGGTGTATGCGCGAAGGGCTTTCTGAATGAGGGTGGAATCGACAGTTAACAGGAAACGGTTTCAAGCCTAACGGGGACCCCCACACCGGCAGGCCAAGTACTGGGCACTGAACAGCCCTCTTGTCTTTCTTCCCTCTGGCTCCCGCTCTGCGGCAGGTCCCTACGCTGTGCTCACGAAGGACACCATGCCGCAGACGTACAAAAGGAAGCGCTCATGGTCTCGCGCTGTGTTCTCCAACCTGCAGAGGAAAGGCCTGGAGAAAAGGTTTGAGATTCAGAAGTACGTGACCAAGCCGGACCGAAAGCAGCTGGCGGCGATGCTGGGCCTCACGGACGCACAGGTAAGGCAGTTCCGGCTCCAGCGCACAGCGCCCTCGGGCGGGCAACAGCGCACGGCCTAGTCCGATAGGCCCCTTCCACCCCGGCCGACTGGCCTCCTACGGTGGAAACGCAAGATGTTGACTTTCAAGAGGCTTTGTGGACTACGCAGCTTGAGGCAGGAGAAGAGGAGGGTGGAGATGGGGTGAGGGAGAAGGACCGAGAGAAGAGCTCATCCCCAAGATGTGTGTCAACAAGCACTGCATGTTTATTTTGGCCAGCAGGCTAAAGAACCACAGAGAAAGCAAAAGAGCCGCTGGAAATAACATTGATGTACTCAACTGTAGTGCAATTCGCTGTAGGAGGCAGTTTATTTCAGAAAAGATAAAAACCCAAAGACAAGAGATTGTTGGTTGGTTTTTTTTCCCTCTCACCCTCCCTCTTTCCTCCTCCTCCTTCTGCTTCTGCTGGATTGTGAAATCCCCAGTTGTGAGGAAGTGAAAATATAATTTCAAACGGAATTAGTTAGCTCCAGGAGGGCAAGGAGTCCGCTTGGAGAGGCCACATATTCCAAGGCTTAGGCTCTGAAGAAAATCTGAAGGAATGGGAGAGGTGAGGGAAAGAAAGAAAAATGATTTTCTTGGAATACCCAAGAGCATTTCAGCAGGTTCTGCCTATCTGATTTTTTTCAAGACATTTCAATAGGAAATGTATTGTGCCGTAATTAAATATTTTTTCTTATATTTAAGAACTGGACTTTCCCCCCCCCCCCTCCCGAGTTTTGACTGTGGAAGAGTCACTCTTGTGCACCCCGTAGCACTGGCTCTAGCTCTGGGGTGCTGATTGTCCCCAGCAGGGCAGAAGCCAGAGGCAGGCTTCTTTTCCTTAGCTCCTTGGTCCCCCAACTACTGTCTCTGTTTCTTTCTGTCCTCCATTACACAACTCTCCTCCCCAGTACACACACACACACACACACACACACACACACACACACACACAGGAGGAGCCCAGCCGTTTTCCACCAGCTGTGGATGTTATTTTTAAAAAGGAAGCTGGAACTTGTGTGAACGCACTGGGTCCCCCAGGGGATCGTATATGTCTATATAGATTCTCTGCCCCATCTCTATGCCCTTCCTTCACTTTGCACACATTTAATTCCAGTGTTTTCTGAGCCCCCAGGAGAATTTGTTTAGCCTTAACAAGGGCAGGGTCCTTATCAGCTCTTGCGAACAAACACACCAAAGAAATGCTGTCTTACTGAAAGCCCAACAGTGCCCTCACCCTACTGTGATTAACAGTTTAAAACCCCTTTTCCCTTTCTGCTCCTCATGTTTCCTTTCTTTAAAAAAGTGTTGCTTTTGTAGGGACTGGCTTTGGGTAATGGCAGTAGAAGAGCGGGCCAATTTAGAGCAGGAATTCTTAACACTGGCTCACCAAACCCTTGACATTGTAAGCAATATCTTGGGTACATGTGTATTTTTCTGGGCTAGGAGTCCATAACTTTAATCAGATTCTCATGGGGGTCCAGAAAAAAAAAATGCATGGATTTAGAGTAGAGAGAGAGAGTATGTTGGGGGTCGGGTGCACGAATCTGCCTTTCCAATAGTCGCCCAGGTCATTTTAATCTGGGGCCTGAGGGTTGCATTTTGAAAACGGTCTCAGTGGGCTCCCTAGACCAGGATTCCTGGCTGCCCCTTGGCTCCTGCGCCTACCACAGTGCCTGGTCCTTGGTAGAGTCTCCAGGTAAGCGTTGCTTTCTCACTCAGGGAGGTGGCTTGCGGGTGCACGCGAGTCGGATAGAAGCAAACCTGGGTCTCATTTCAGTGTCTCTTCTTGTCTCCCCGTGTGGCGCGGCGCAGGTGAAGGTGTGGTTCCAGAACCGGCGGATGAAGTGGCGGCACTCCAAGGAGGCCCAGGCCCAAAAAGACAAGGACAAGGAGGCTGGCGAGAAACCGTCAGGTGGAGGCCCGGCTGCGGATGGCGAGCAGGACGAGAGGAGCCCCAGCCGCTCCGAAGGCGAGGCTGAGAGCGAGAGCAGCGACTCCGAGTCACTGGACATGGCCCCCAGCGACACGGAGCGGACTGAGGGGACTGAGCGTTCTCTGCACCAAACAACAGTTATTAAGGCCCCGGTCACTGGCGCTCTCATCAGCGCCAGCAGTGCTGGGAGTGGTGGGAGCAGCGGCGGCGGCGGCGGCAGTAGTTTCAGCTTCAGCAGCGCCAGCAGTCTTAGTAGCAGCAGCACCAATGCGGGTTGCGCCAGCAGCCTCGGCGGCGGCGGCGCCTCGGAGCTTCTCCCTGTGCCACAGCCCACAGCCAGCAGCGCTCCCAAAAGCCCCGAGCCACCCAAAGGCGCGCTTGGCGGCGTATAGACTGTACGAGGGCGGAGGGGATCCGGGCCTTGCGTGCAGCCTCCCAGCCATGGCCTGGGTTTTGTGCTTACTGTATGTTGGCGACTTGGCAGGACAGGAGACGCAGCGTGGAGCCTACCTCCCGACATTCACGCTTCGGCTAACGCTGCTCCGGCTGGCTGCAGCGGACACTGCCCAGAGCAGAGGGGAGTCTCAGTGTCCTGCTAACCAGCCGAACACTTCTCTCCGGA